CTGTGGAAAATGGGAAGAGGTGTAGCATTTCACAAAAATGTATACTTTAATTTTTATTCTGCATTGTGAAATGTAACGCAAGCATCTCCTGACCACAGGGTACCTTTACTGAATGCAGATGCTGGTTGGGGTGAGAGTCGCTGTCGGGCTCCGCCAATCATTCACGCAGGTGTCAAGGTGGTTCATCAGTGGCGCCAACATCGTCCTATTACAGCGCCAACCTCCCGACATTTTATTTCTTTTGCTGTCTTTCGCATTGACAACACGGAAACGCAAAATGGCAGAAACTGAGAATGGGCCCGATGCATGGCTTTGTGCAAACTGCTATAACAATCTTTCTTTGGTTGTGGGTAAAATGACTAATTTCTTTGCAAAAATGCTTTCTTTACAAAGTTTAAAGATACCACTTTTATTTGAAGATATTTATTTATGTTAACTTGTGATTGGGGTGGATTTTCTTCAGAGTAGTGAATGCCATAGGACTGCAAGAAAGGTTGTGAAAGTTTCCATGGTGATATTTTTTATATATGTGCTGTGAATGTGACGTTGGCACTTGCTTTCTATAGTTTCCTGTTACAAGGCAGCAGGGTTGCTGAAGAAGGTAGTGGCATTTTTTAGCTTTATATTCCCATAGATGGTATTCTGGGTACTTCACATCGCATCTTATAAACACATACTTGAACGCATTTTCATTGTTGGTGAAATGAATGATAAACACAGACATGGAAACAACATAGGCAGACACTTTCTTACCTGATTATGGCTGTTTCTGTTGCCACCGAAACGTCGTATTCTATTATTATTTGATTTTATTTTATACGTGACTTTACCGAAAGAGTAATTCCTGCAGTCACGAAAGCTTTAAATCTTTTTCTGTGTCTACTTTATTACATTTTTATTATTTTATTATTAGAGTTATTTCAGCAGGCTAATGCAAAATATTAAATCATTAGCAAACACTGGCCTGTGGACATGTGCCCTTATATCGCGACTGGCCTTTATTTCCTACAACGATCCAAATAGAATGAATGGTGAGGGGCAGTACCCCGCATCTGCATTGGGTCCGCTGCCAGGCTCTGCACAGGGATTTGCTTAAAGATGGTTAGTCTCACCTCCCAGGTAGACGTAGAGGCTACAGAAGGCCTTGATTGGCATTCGGCACTGAATTCATGCATTTGGAAGATTTTAGACCACTTTTTACGTAAGCTCTAGTTGTTGGCGCAATATATATAAGCAGTGGCTGGAGGCCCCAAAGCCGGTTCTAGTTCCCGCAGGGAGCTACTCGGTCGCAGAGACCACCCTTGGAAGGAGGAATGGTGGAGTTTAACTCACTATCAGCATCTTACATGGAACGTTTCGAATGTTTCATCTCACACCCGGCGGATTCATTTCAACCGGGTCGGTCCGGGCCCGGAAAATATTTCCACACCTGGCACACTACATCCATGATGACTGTGGTTGCTAATCAAGTGCCACCTACTCCAGTTTACCAATGATATGGGAAATAATCAGTGGCTGAGAGTTAAACACTGCAGGTGGCCAGGCTCACCGTAAGCGCATTTTAACACAGAATTAATGCGGTACAAATGAAACTACATTGCATCAGTATCATTCATTAGTTTGATATGCAATTAAGTCATATTTCGGGCAGAAAATATTATGACTGTACATATTAAACTGTGCTGTCAAATCAGTTTGTGTAAATGTGTAAGATGGAATGTTTGTACTCATCACTTGTCATATCTCATTTGTATAGATTTGTTTTATCATTCTGCCACTATGGGAGGGCCCAGGGCCACCGTGATGTTTATATCAAAGGTCAAATTGAAGTGTCTCCCCACTCGACTAAATGTGGAATTGTGGTAATTTTTATTGGTGACTCTGAGCCAATTGTGAATATTCCACAATATGATGGTGGGGGCCAGTACATCATATCACAATCACTGTGCGCTCTTCCTTCAAATTGATATTTATGTAATTTTCCATATCACTGGGGCAGTGACGTGGTCCAGTGGTGGCGCGTTCGCTGCTTGTTGCGTGAGGCTCGTGGTACCGCGGTGTGTAATAATGGTAACACACACCACGTGCCGCCTGCTTCACAGTGGACACTGAAGGTCCCGTGACGTAATTCGCAGGAGTAGACCGTTCTGACAACGTCGTCTAGGCAAAATTGACGTCTTTAATTCAAATCCAGATATGATCAAGAGAGCTAAATGCAATTTTAAGGCTTAGAAACCGATAGGACGAGGTCTTCGAGTGTACCAACTAAATTTGGACAACATAGTAAACTTCGATTTAAAGCTTTCGTGACTGCAGGGATTCATATTCTTGGATCTTTCGGTAAAGTCACGTAGAAGGGAAAAAAAATAAAAGAATACAAATAAAACAATACAATTCTGACGACGTTTTGATTGCAACACAAGTAATCATCATTAGGTGTGAAAACCACAGCAAGACTGAGTCAAACCCAAACATAGTCAACCACTGTAGTCTGCGCTCTCCTTCAATGGAGGAATAGCAAAACTGCATGCATCGTCTCCTGAGTAGCAGACCTCGATATTGGTGGTTAGCTCCTGAACATATCGCCATACACAAGAATAGAAGGAAAAGAGTAGTCCAAATTTGGCAAATTTGAACAATTACTTGCAAATGACCCAACAGGAATATACAGAGCAACCATCGCCCCTGTCTGCTAAAACTTGGCAGAGCCCTCCAGAAAAAAGTATTGAGACTCACTGAGGCTTTCCTGTAATAATAATAATAACAGACTGAGTCAAACCCAAACCGGTCTTGAACTCCGGGACCTTCTGCTGGTGAGTCAATCACACATGCACAGCACTGCCCCAGCAGATATTCTGTGGCGTTAACCCTGCCGCTGTGATGATAGCACTGCACCTGCCCTGTACCACCACGGCGCTAATAATACCAATAACCCGGGGCAGTGCTCTGGCAAGCAGCAGCAGCTGGGTGCTTCTGCAGCCGTTTGATCCATTTATTGTGCTCTGTGATCTACCCTCGAATAAACCATAACCGATAAAAAAAACAAAGAGAGAACACACAACACAGCCTTAGCATGTCATAGCAAAACCAGCCTGTGTAATTGTTACACCAGTGCTTGAAGTCGGTGGGTGTTTCTCAATTCAGGTCCCTCTGTAAGGCTTTCCGCGATTACTATCAGGTGTGTGCAGCGTGTTGACGCTAAGTTTGCATATGAACAGCAAGAGTTTCCCCTGGTAGGGTAGAGTTGTTGAAATCGATTTTTTTTCGCATTGTGTTCAACCACATAATAAAACGGGGAAAACAGAATGACCGGCTTGCCACACATATAGAAAGGCTGCGCAATGAACATATATTGTGTAACGCTGTCACCATCCTAGCATCTCCCCAGATCCGGAGGAACACTGCAAGCGAACAGAGTGCAACAACGTGGACGTCCATCATAAACATCTCAGTCGAGACCCAAATAATGACCAACCGGACCAGAACATCGACAGGCCGATGTCCACATCTCCTTCATAGATGCAAAGTCACAGGAATGTGGTTGTGGCCATGCAACCCAAACTTTGGAACGAAGTAAATAAACCACTGTCCTCTGTACTCCTTCAATGGAGGAGGAACAGCAAACCTACACCAACTCTCTCCTGAAGCCCTCTGGTGGCGAGCAGACATCTCCATTGGTATTTAGCTCCTGAGCGTATTGCCATACAAATAATACAATTCGTAAAACTCACTGGAAATGGTTACCGGTTAATGACTTTCGCGACGTCTATCGATTCTGAAAACGGTTAGGGGCCGTCCATAAATGACGTCACGCACCTAGGAGGGGGGGGGGGGTCAGACATTTGTGACGATGTGTGACGAGGGGGGGGGGATAAATGTGACGTCACATCAACATGCGCAACTTTAAATAAATATAGACAACACGTTCTACTTAATTAAATAGACTTTTTAAATAAATGTGTTTTCCTACATCAGACTGCAGCGCCACATTAAATACGCACTACAATGACAATAGTTTAAAGCGATTCGAAGCATATTCTTGGTTCTTTCGGTAAAGTCACGTAGAAGGGAAACAATAAAAAAAATATAAAACAATAAAAAATATTGTTTCCCTTCTACGTGACTTTACCGAAAGAACCAAGAATACGAATCCCTGCAGTCACGAAAGTTTTAAATCACGATTTGAAGCATGTTTTATTTTCAAAATGGAAATATGGCTTGGGGGGGGGGGGCAGAGCTTTGTGACGTCATATTTGAGGGGGGTCTGACTTTTTGTGACGCCGTGTGACGAGGGGGGGGGGGGTCAAAAAATCGTCCAAAATCTCGTGACGTCATTTATGGACGGCCCCTTACCGGTTTAGCGGATGCCGACTGTGGCGAGGGGATCATAAAAGGCTGGAGTCGAGACACCGGACTCCCTCAGTGACTGCCCCTCCAGGTGCCTACAGAAGAGCGACTTTAATCAGCATACAGAGTGTACCATCCACTCACACATATGGATGAGAGAGTGGACACTGCCGGGGGTGACAAGTATCAAGAGTTGTGAAGAGCCACCACGAACCGAACAACATTCCTATCTTAGAGACATCGTAGGCTCGAACTAACACGTAGGCATTCGCGACCAATATTATGCATGATAAAGGTTTTTTGGGTTAGATCGCGTAACCCAAAAACCTTTATTATGGATGGACTCTAAACTGTTCAGCAAGTGGGCTGTGTGGCAAGGAGGAGACACCCTCACTATGATGGCCGGCGGTCGAGACTCACTGTGGAGTGGCAGCCAAAGGCGTGAACGCGTCCGAGAGAACGTCCTCCACGGAGATTTCGGCATGATATCAGCCCGTGTTGTGTAAATGCAAGATCGTTATGCTGCAGGACTGTCATAAATAGCGACCGCTTGTTATAAGGCTTTCACCAAGCAGTGGACAGATCGTACCTCGTGATGATGATGATGAGTCATTCACCTGTGCGCTACTTGCGGTGCTTATGTTGATTGACAGCTGCAAGGCCACGCCTCCTCGCCTGCTCGTCCCGCCCGCACTGCCCCCGCCCCCACCCCATCTATCCCGCCCCCTCGGCTCAGATGCGACCAATGGGAGACGAGGCCTGAGGTGAGTCCCGCCCCCTTCTCCCCGAGTTTCCCCCCCACTCCGCCCCCCCTCCCCCGCGTGCCGGGCGCGCGCGCTCTGCCGGGGGTCGCGCGGCCCCGCCCCCTGCCCCCCGGCCCCGCCCCTCCCCCGCGTGCCGCGCGCGCGCTCTGCTGGGGGTCGCGTGGCGCTCGCCACTCGCTCAGAGCGCGAGGCGCTGCTGCTGCCGCCGTTGCTGCTGCCGCCGCTACTGCCGCTGCTGCTGCCGCTGCTGCTGCTGCCGCCGCTGCCGCTACTGCTGCCGCTGCTGCTGCTGCCACCGCTGCTGCTGCTGCTCCACGAGCGGCGCGGAGGGACTCACGGCGGCGGAGGCGCGCGTGCGGTCACAGCTGATCATGGTAAAGTAAGTAACTGTACCGTCAAATTTCGATTTAAAGCTTTCGTGACTGCAGGGATTCATCTTATTGGTTCTTTCGGTAAAGTCACGTAGAAGAGAAATAATAAAATAATAAAAATACAACAATAAAATAAAACTGTACCGTGCCACGTGCGGCACTCCACGTGGGAACCGCGTGCGGTTGACACTCGAGACGCCTCGCTTCATCATTCGAGGCTCGCCTCTGCACACGCAGCCGCCGCTAGATTGTTTGAGACGTCGCGTTGGCAATGGCGAGTTAAGCAAGCTACGTTGCGGTTTGGACAGGGTCATCATCGCTTCATGGCTAGAAGCGGTTGATGATGGTCGGTGGTCCAGACGAGCAACAGGAGAGAACACGCCCGAGAGGATGTCCGTCGCAGAGACGGAGCGATTGAATGACATGTTGTGCAAGATACTGCACAGAAGAGACTCCGCATTAGTTGAGAATCGCGCGCGTGTTGGTTTGGTATTTTGGTAGGGTCCGCCTTCATCCTCGGCGGTAGCAGCAGGGGGTCAGATTGGAATATTGAGCCCCCGTCCATAGGAATGTGGAATTGACACCGCTGCGCTCAGCGCCAATAACGGACCTGAGCGCCGCACCTTTGCGCGTGAGCAGCGAGTCGCTGGGTGAGTGGGGGATGTGGTGCTGCTGATCCGTACGCGGGCGGTGTTGCCAGCGCGCTCATCGTGTGTTCCCTAGGTATGCAAGCCTTTTTAGCCATACTTCACCATGCTGGTCAATGCGGGGTGGTGAATGGGGTGCCCAAAACTGGTTCAGATGTCACTCGCTGCTGATGTTAGCCGTGGCCTGGAACCGAACTCAGATTAACGGGTGCATCGTCTAATGTGCTAACCACTACGCCACCGCTCCTCCCAATGTATAACTGTCACGGTATGTTTGGGACAATGACCTACAGATGCAGTATTGACTCATACTGCTAAGTACCAATACTGCATAGTAGACGTCGTATGCCTACCCCTGCAATCTAAAATTATTCAATTAAAGTAATTTGACACACTTCACCTCGAATTGTTTTGGACGGTGATGTGTCATGAAACATTTCGCTGTTTGAGTCGTGAAGTTTTGAGTTATTTTGTTTTGCACGTGCAGTGTGTGTGCTTTATAATTGTTTATTGATTTATTTTCTCAGTTACTCCATGTATCACTGTGCTTGTGTTTTTTCAAACATACTCTCAACACAAAGATGTAAGTGTGGCGATTGTGTTGTTGAGCAAGATGTCAATACAGATCATGCGAAGCACATCAGTGCAGTACTGTCTATAGCCAGCACACAGAATGCCCAACGCTAACAATCATCTCGATCCCGATCCGACTTCTACAATTGCCCAACTCCGATCTGTTTTATTTTCGTGTCATTTATTTGTGGCAAACGTTGCAATTTTCTTCATCAAATTCTGCAATCATGCCGTATAATAAATTGCTGTATATAATGACTGCCATCAGCAAATATTAGGTGGTTAATACACGTCTTTGTTTATGCTATTTCTGCTGTCCAATATTCATAAATACACATTTTCCCTTTTGATTGAGAATAACTTTGGCCAGAGCTATCGCCTTGGATTTTGTCACTTTGTCAATACACTCTCAGTGCAGTTTTTCCATCCTTATAAAGATTTTTATTTAGGCGTTGGTATTGCAGAGTATTGGATGACTTAATGAGTTACCACTGAGTGAAATGCATTATTCTACCACCTCAGTGTATACTCTCCATCAGATAAGCGTATGAAACCAATACATTTCGAATACCAGACATATATTACCTGTTGCATGACTATGTACTACACATACTAGTAAACATGTAAGTACTTCGATTTAAAGCTTTCGTGACTGCAGGGATTCATCTTCTTGGTTCTTTCGGTAAAGTCACGTAGAAGGGAAATAATAAAAATAAAACAAAATAAAATTCTCACGACGTTTCAGCCACAACACAAGTAGCCGTCCTCAGATGAAGAAACAGAACTGTCAGAAAGACATTTATTTGTGGCAAACGGTGCCACAAATAGTTATGTTTCTTCACCTGAGGACGGCTACTTGTGTTGTGGCCGAAACGTCGTGAGAATTTTATTTTATTAGGTTGTATTATTATTTTATTATTTCCCTTCTACGTGACTTTACCGAAAGAACCAAGAAGACATGTAAGTACTGTGTTAATTTGACGTTATGAACAGCATTGTGTCAACTTGATGTTCATATACACAATATTTTGGAAAAACAACATAATTGGATACTCAGATGTGTACTTCAAAATGTAAATATCATAGGTTTCATACGTGCTTATATCACAGGCTATGAATGTAATATTAAAATAGATAAATCACTCCGTTTAGAATTCTGATTAGATTACGTATACCCCAGATACGCCACTCGCGACTGGGCAGCGTAGATACAGAATTGTGAATGTGATTGTTGTTGTTGTAGAGATCGCATTCGTCGTCTGCTTCAACACCATCTCTCAGCAGATGCACGTTACGCTCCTGGGACCACGGTTTAGCATCGTCATTAACACATCCATTTACCTCAGTGGCCACTCACCCTCCCCTCGTATCGGCTTCCCCTCTTTTGCAAGATAGTGTCGAAGTGCAGTCGCATTTATTAATAGCAACTTGCAAAGCTGGTTTTAAAACTTTTTCCAATTGCTTGTTTCTTTCCCACATGCACCGTGAGTAATGTTACAGGAAGTGTTTCTATGGCAGTAGGTGCGTGAGTTCATGACAAAGTTATGTCCTGAGAGCACAACACAATTGCTGATGTGAGGTTTACAGAGTTGGGTGACTTTATAATCTCGCATAACCCACACAATGCACTGATTTTAATCGCATCTTTATATCATTGTTTTCTTGCTTTTTAAAATAACTATTAAACCCCGGACACTTACCGCCCAGTGGGATGCTCGTAAAATGCATGGCTTGCTTTACGAAGGACTTCCGAAAGTACAGTCGTGTAAAATTGCAGTCGAGGTGATTATTTATTCTGATGAGCGTCAGCAGACTAAAGTTTTTGGAAACTCATCACCGATTGGCTATGATCGGTGGTGAGGAATTAATCCGCACAGGAGCAGTGGGCAGAATTTTTTTAGAATTTTTTTTTAAAGACAAGTCTACTCTTGTTTATACGGTAAAGCATCATCATGATCTATTTGGGCCAAATCATGCAATGTATAGAAATTCAGTGAATGTTTTGAAGGTATCGTGGCAATTGAAACAGAGCGATGAGTGTGAGTATGTGGCTGCCCTGTGTGAGACAGGTAAATGATGTGCATTTCAGCTGTCATACGCGGGTGACTTCGACATAGGATTTCACTTCACCTGCCCTTTTAATACACTGCCCTGCCGCCCACGTAAAGGGAAGACTTAATCATTCATCATAATAAGTCTTCCCTTTATCCGTACCAATTTCCGTGAGTTTGACCACGAAGTAATGAAGTAAATGAGGACATCATTGAGTTACACTTCACTTGCACTGAGGATTTAGGTATGGCTCAGGTTTTGGGAGTCACCCAAATATATCTGAAAATACAGATAATTTCCCAAAGTGACTCAGAGGCATAACTATTCCTCATAACCGTAGTGTACACGCACGGCAACAGCTTAGTTGGGAATGTGATTGTTAATGCAGGTGTGAGGAGACGTCCCTCTGATTAAGTTGTGTCTTAACCACTGTACAGTGTGTTGAAGTATGGCCAAATAACTAACATGACCCGCACCCAATGGGGAACCCCCATCTAGCAGTGCATTCACACAAGTGCTGTGCGTGTACAGACGAGGGAGGGCATTGCTACAATGCAGGCACTATGGTGGTGGTGGTGATGATGATGATGTGGTGGATGATTACAACATGGGTGGGTGCCTGCCACTCACCTGGTACAGCTGCGGGAGAGAGCACCTGTCTCACAGTTGGGAAGTTGCAAGTTCAACACCCTCCGTTGGATGTGAGGGGGAGTCAACCTAGTCTGTCGTTTCTCTAGGGGTCGATTATTTTCGTACCACTTTGTGAGAAGTCAAGGGTGGTCGTCCTATAAATAGACCTGGGCCCCACCCTGAGAATGTGGAATTTCCACCATCATTAATGCCACCAACGGAGATAAATGCCGTATAATTTCGCATTTTATTAGGCAGACACTCGCTTCTAAGTGACAGAGAGCAGTTGCCTTGTATTATTCAGTCCACCATGTTCTATCAGCATTAACATTGCTTACTTTACGTAGTCCACTCTGTGAGGACGTTTTTACAAATGCATATTTCCTCTTACAGTATGACAATTCGTCATTTATCTTACACGATATTGAGCGGGCATGTTACATAACGATGTGGAAGAGAGGGACCGAGTGCACAGCGCTGTGTATGTGGTGCGGATTAAAAATTATCACCGTGCTTGCTTGGTGAATCCCCCACCACGGTGAGCATGTTTATAGAATGCATCAGCCCTCTCTTTCCTGCTTTCTTATTATAGTCATGATTACACAATGGGCAAAGACACCATTGTCTTTTGATCAAATAGAAAACCAGATAGTGTACAGTATTGTGTGTGTGTACATGTCTTAGTCATCTGTTTCAGACACGGTAGAAACAGAATAGTTTTGTACGG